GCTATSTTAAGCTTCTTGGCTTTCACTTTGTTAAGAAAAGGGGTTTTATAAAGGGGGATGAAGGGGTAAATGTTCTGTCTCATGTGCCAGGTGCCAAAAGAGAAGTGCCAATGACACACACATTCCAGCTTCCATTGTTCTCTGTCCTCTTGTGGTCCTGTGTTCCTAGAGAAGGTGATGGTCAGGATCTCTTCCTGCAGTCAATCGTTGTGAGGTTTGTTTGTTACTACACACAGCACCTTGCTCAGCTGTAGGTTTGCTTTCAGGACTAATCCTGTGCCAGGCTGAAGATTTAAAAGAGTCAATCAGACAAGATTTTTGTCTTTCACAAAGCTTGCTATAGAGTGCAGGAGKTCTGTGCATAATTGTGAGGGGAAAAGTTCATTTAGTCAAAATATGGTATGCACCTGTAAAGTAGGTTTTTTGAAGACTAATTTCCCAGAGACTAATTATTTTACATATGGGCTTTTAAACTTAGAAATTGTTGCTCTCTTTCTTCATGTGAAACCACTTCAAATGATTTCTATTTTCATTTTGTCAGTCATTATACTTTTCTCTCTTTCAGTGCACAGAAATTGGAGTCATAAAGATYCTGTAATGTTAATAGATCTGTCTCAAAGTTCATGAGGTCAAACTTGTTGGTCTTCTCATATGAACAGTGCAAAAATCTGATATCAACTCAGTTAATCTTGGGCATAGAATAATGGGCACTAAAGAACTGCTCACCCATAAATCAATAGAGACTAACTCCTAATTTATTTCCTTTTGGGTCACATATTCTACTTTCACCATAAAAGCAAAGATAACTATAATTAAAATGTCTTTCCTTCYCTACTGTTTGTGTTAACATTCATGCTATTGAATATACCCCTTCCTTAATACTATATTTTTTTCAGTATTCTACAGTTATTGTTTTGTTAAAAATACCCTTGTGATATTAACKGTATAATAAATTACAATTCAAAATAAAATATCAGACATTTCATCCATGAGAGAGAATAAAGCAATAATAAAAGATAATAAAGCTTACCAATATGATAATGTAGCAAGAGGTTTTTATAGACTCCATGTAAATGTTAAAATCTATAAATTTTTTATATTGTGTAAAATTGTAAAAAATAGCAATGAGGGGGGAGGGGAAGACAAAAGCACAGCAGTTGGCTTAATAATGAAATTTTYAGATTTCTTTATAGAATCTGAAAAAGAGTGTATAAAAATATGCATACTAAATTGTTTGTGGCCTATCTTATTGACTAGAGATATTAAAGGTAAATTGAAGAAGGAAAACTCTGTCT